GCGGGCTCCTGGCAGCCGGGACGGCTGACGGGCGACGCCGGCCGGCCGAACGTGGCGTGTCCAGGTCAGGGCGCGGGGAGGGGCCCTCGGCAAGCAGAGGGAGACTGAGAGGCCCGTCGGCTCCCCCGCGGAGGCAGAGCCCCGGGGCGGGAGACGGCGGAGCGCAGCGAGGCTCAGGCCACGCACTGGCGGGCAACGTCATCGGTCACGGGGTCACCGGCGACAGAGGACGCGGCCTCGGCGGGGCAGCTGCACCGAGTCTCTGAACGCCGTTAGCATGGCCGCCAGCGCCTGGCCGGGAGCAGCGGCGAGTCACCGCGCGGACGGTGCCTGGGGGCGCAGCCTCGGAGGCGGACAGGGAGAACGGCCACGGGGACGGGCGGCCACGGGGGCAGAAGGGCCCCAGGGACGGACAGCCACGGGCCGGCCGGCCGCGCAGTGCCAGGGCCCAGCTCACTCGCTCGAGGAAACAAGAGCTGGTTCTGCGGCATTGCCAGCACCAGCCAGGGCGGTACAGGACGTTCTCACACTCGTAAGCGTTAACAATGACCACTGTCCACTTTAAACACCCGCGAGCGGTCTGACTGCCCACTTTACTGACTTATGTTCAAAGATGTATTTACTGATGCACGCAGCGCTGGCACAGGCCAGGGGTGCGGGGCCGAGAGGACGCCCCAGCGGCAGAGCGGGGGGCAGGGCAGGCAGGTGGACGAAGCGCACTGCTGAGGGGGCCGCGGGGACAGGAGAGGCCTGCCGGGCCCTCCCCGGCCGGGCCTGACCTGCACGGAAGGGGCCGCGGCCGGCTTGCAGGGGGCGCTCTGGCCGCTGCGCCCCAGGGAACCTCGTAAGGTGTCTCAGGTGTGGGATTGTCGTGGCTCCCAGAATCGAGGCCCAAGCGGTGAAGACTCACCCTCACGGGGGGGTGTCCCAGAGTGAAGGTCTGACGGCCACTTCAAGTAGCTGGCAGCTGCGCGCCCTGAGCCGTGACGATGCTTGAACGTGCTCACAGCTTCCGAGGCGGCCGCCCCGTCGAGCCCTCGTCCAGGCGCACTGACTCGGGCGCTGCCCTGGCAAAGTGGGCGCTTCGGTGCCGGCTGACACCTCGCGTGAACTCACCGGGACCCGGCCTCTGAGAAGACGCCCCGGGAAGCGCTGTGAATCTGGGGCTCTGGCGGCCACCGGACACTCCGCGGCGCAAAATGTGCTGTGCAGGCGCCCTGGTCGAACACAGGCACGATGACAGTCACGCGCGGCCAAAACCACCTTTTTAAAATGCAACTTTCCCGCGAGGCGAGGTGCCACGCAGCGCCCGAGAGGCAGCGGGGAGCTGGCGACGCAGCCCGAGGGCACAGAGCCGGGCGTCCCGCAGACGCAGGCACGCTAGCTGCGCGCGGGTGAGCTTCTGCCGGCCCCGACGGAAGCGGCCGGCTCCAGCAGGGACGAGGGCGACGGGGCCGGGCCGCCGCCTCCGTCAGGCTCACAGGCGGCTGCAGCGGCGCAGAGCCGAGCTCTCGACCCCCGGACGACGCCACTCGCGGCAGAGGGGCGCCGCAGGGCGAGGGAGGCGGCCTGCGGGTTTGCAAAGCCTCAGGTGTGTCTCTGTGCAGCTTCCTGTATTTATTTTTTTTAAAGGTTTATTTATGCACACAGAACTGGGGTGCAGGCCAGAGGTGCAGGGCGGCGAGAGGCTTCCCCAGAGACAGAGCGGGGAGCAGGACAGGCCGATGGAGGAAGCACACTGCTGAGGGGCAGCGGGCGGGCAGGAGAGTCTGCCGCGCCCTGGGGTGCCCTCCGGTGCGGAAGTGGCTTCAGCTTCTCAGGGCTGCGCTTTACCCCGCTGCGCCCCAGGGAGGCCCGGTTCCCTTTTTTCTAATTCTAATAACCAGACTAAGAAGGGAGGTCGCGGGGTCTCCATTTATAAAAGTCAAAGGCAAGGGCAGTTCCGTGACCCACCGAAGGTGCCGGCTGGCCAGTGGGGCGGAGCTGGGCAGCGGCCCCTGCCTGCCTGGCTCCCGCCACTCGGGTGTAGCCGGTGCTGTTTGCTCAAGGGGGTAGGAATTATGCCTCTGAGAAGCCGTGGTTTTATCCTTTATTCATACTCAGTTTTAGTTTCAGAAAACCATCAGCAGCGCGGTTAGAGCTTACAAACATGCTCTTCAAATTATATAACTGAATTTTAATGCCCATGAGTTAGGCCAGGAACTTCCGGAAACAATCTGAGCCACAGGCAGGAAGAGAGTGCAGACGCCGACTCTGCAGACTTCCCACTGCGTCTTCCAGCTGACACTGGGTCACAGCACTCGGGGGCTCCACTGGTAAGGACAGGCAGATTCCGACCAGGGCCCTTTGCAGGAGACGCAGGAAGGGCCCTTGCTGGCGGCTGCGCTGGGGGCGACCCAAGCCGATGCCATAGCGGCAGACCCCCCCTCCGCTGCCCCCTCGGGCGCGCTCCGCCAGTCGGCCTGTTCTGCTCCCCACTCTGCCTCTGGGGAGTCCTCTCCTCGCCCCTGCCCGTACCCCAGTTCTCTGTGCATAAATAAATAAATCTTAAAAAAAAACCATGAGCAATGAATGCTTGAGGGCACAAATTTAAGCAAAATCGTTTGATTTGGTGAAGGGCCACATTGCCAGCGTCCCTGTCACATGTCAAACTTGCCGCGTACAGTAGTAACGTGACCGGGAAAGGTCATT